ACTCCAGTATGCATAAACTCGGGGGATGTTAATGAAGGCCTTTACCAGGGAGAGTAACTGGGCAGTAGTGATCAACCTGATGAAATGGGACTCAGGAGAACTAGGTCCTAGTCCCCTCTCATCTAGGAAGCTCATTGGGTGACTTTGGGTCCATCACAGACTCTCACCATACTCTTAGTGCTGTTGTGAGGATAAAATGGAGAGGGGGAGTCATGTATACCACCTCAGAGGAAAAAACAAGGAGTATAAATACAGTAAATAAATGGACTGAGAATATCAAGCTGCATCTAGACAGAGCTTAGAAGCCCTCTGTGCCAGGTTACAGTTTGCAAATGAATCTCATTTCAAATTAGGTGATATCAGTAAATTAGCACTGAACATTTAGTCAGATCAAAAATCTCCAGATCAAGGGTCAGCCAATTAAAATAAAAAAACACTAGTAATCTTGAACAGTATACAGAATGCATTGTCTCCTCTGGGAGAGATAATGTGAAACCATGCTTTGTCCAAAAAGAACATGCACTCCATGATTTACAATTTACATGTTTAGATGCAGATCTAATATTATGCATACATTTTAAAAGCAGCATGACTAGTCAGCATGACAGTATTATCTGTCCTGACCTATTTATTTCCCAACAGACAGGAAAATGAAAGCTAACCTGGGTGAAAAGAGAAACAAGTCCTTCAGGAGCTCCTGCCCCAGGGTCATCTCAGGCTGGAGATGGAATATTAACAGTGATTATGATGGAAGTGTTGCCCATAGTAGGCTGACTAGCACTCCCCAGTGTGCAGATGTGTTAGACCACAACCCCCAGCATCCCCAGACATGTTTGCTGGAGTTGATGGGAATTGTAGTCCAACAAATTTGTATGGCGCCAGGAGAAGGAAGCCTGCTGTGGTTATTTTGGCTTGCTGTCCTTTGTGGTTGAACTGGTTTCCCAGGGGTTTGATGTGCTACCAAAACCGTTTTGGCCAAGAACAACAGGGAATGACTACATGCTGAAGGCAGTGCTGAGTGCACCGTTCCAGATGCTACACAGTGAAAAGCAGCCATTGTCTCTCCTTTCAGGGAAACACCCGGTTGCAACACCTCTGTGCCAAATACCTGCACAAGAGGCCACACACTGCTTCTCTTCGCACTTGGCTGGCATGTAGCGCATAACAGGACTTAAAGAAGCATAAGGCAAGCTTCTCCCTGGCCAGCTTTGGGACACATCTGGAATGCTATGGGACACATCTGCTCTTCACCAAGGCAGAGACTAGAGGTTTCCTTTTCATTAGGAAGGAGTCCCAGTGCTTCTGTTTCATAACCAAAAAGAGCTTCTTTGGATTACCACCACCACCACCAAAAATTCCTCGGTTCCCCATGCAGTTTGCTCTTCCCATCTGGAAGAAACTTGCTGATTGAAAACAAGCAGTGATTCAAGATGTTCCAATATTATGTAGAGAAAGCTCCTGAATTCCTAGGAGTACACACTTTCCCCACTGGACAATAAAAGCTGGGGAAAGTGCATTAAAATTCAGCACTCCCCATGCCCAGCTGCAAGGGTGGACTGCTAATCACAAATCCCAGCATGCAGCAGGTTGGTGCAAGCCTGATACGTGTGTGACGATACGAGGAGGGAGGGAGCAGAGGAGGATAGATGCGATTAGTGAGGACTTGCCTGCATGTCTCACGCAACTGGAAAGCCTCACTTGCTCTTCCGGCACTGGAAGGAGATGGTGAAGGATCCTTGGGACACTGCTTGACTCAGGCAGAAATGGCTCAGCAGGCAGGGCTGTTCCTACCAGAGCCAATTCCATTCTGTGCATCAGGATTAGATTGGGGAGACCCCACTTCAAATCTCTAGTCATGGAAACGTGTGGCTGGTCACTCTCCCTCAGCCTAGCCTATCTTACCAGCTTTGTTGTGAGGATGAAATCGGCCACAGGAAGAGCCATGCGCGCATGCCGCCCTGGGCTCCTTAGGAGAAAGGCCGGATTCGGAGTGTTGTAGGATGTTCGACATGCAGCCCATGTGAAACACTAGCTGGCAATGTGCCTATTCAGGTTGGCAGTACAGCTGCCAGGTCACCATCAAATCTCAGCTGCCGCAGTAGCAACACAACCGCTTCTCCCAGGCTACATCTCACCTGATCCTACCAGCCTCCCTCTGCTTCTAGCTGGCTTTGAGAAACGTGAATCTCCTTTTCCCTTCAGTAGATGAGAGGAGAGAGCTGGAGTCTGGGATGAGGGAAGAACAGTAGAAGCTGTGGCCACACCTTTCTCTTGCCAAGCTTTCTTCTGTCTGTTGTGGAGCAAAAGTGGAGCCCTAGAAAGAGAAAGTGCAGGTCAAGCAGGGGTGGGGAACCAGCGGCTCTCCACATATTGGACTCCAACTCATATCATCCCCACCATCAGCCCTGCTACTTGAGGCTAAGGAAAGCTGGGGTTCAAAAACTGGAGGAAGAGAGTCCTCTCTTCCTGCAGAAGAGTGGCAGAGCAGGAATGACTGTAGCTGGACACACAAATGCACCCGTTTTAAAGATACAAACACGATGGCAACTGAATTACCAATGGGGAGAGCACTGTCCCAAATGAAGATTTCAGAACAGGGCACTGCTCGCCAACTAAATGGGAAGTCTGTGCCACTTGGGGGCAACAGTTAGCAAACATCCTGTGCGCTGGTGGGGGACCACAGAGAGACTTGTAATAGCAGCACCATGGAAAAAGTGCTTTATTCTCAGCCATGATCTCAGTGACCAGCACTAGCAATGATCCTGGGGAATATGGGAACATCAGCTGCGCTGAAGGATTGGGTGGCAATGCTGTTGGGTGGGAAAAACAGAGTCTGGGATGAGAACTAGGTCAGCTGTACTCTCCAAGCCCATTGCCAGCCTCACTGACCTACAAAGGCAGCTGTAAATCTACTAACTATCTCTGGCATCTCTCCTCTTAAAAAGAACACAACAACAGCTGTGCTGGATCAGACCAATGCTCTGTCCAGTCCTGCGCTCTGTTCACACACTGGCAAACCAGCTGCCCACAGGATCCTTCAAGTAGGATGGGTACAGCATCTCCTTCCTACCCAAGTTCCCTAGCAACTGCTACACAGGGGCACACTTCCATTCCTGGTGGCCATCACTACATCCTAAGACAGTGAATCCCACCATTTAACTATGCACCGTGTAACTACTTCCTTTTCTCTGTCCGGATTTCCCACTTATCAGCTTCATGGGAGGACTTCTTTGGTTTCAGTATTATGGGAGAGGGAGAAAAATGTGTTCTCCACTTTCTTCACACTCTGCTTAATTTGGAACACCTCTGTCAGAAGAGGCAGGCACTTGCAACCTCCATCCATACACACAAATATACATGAACGGGGCTGGGAAGTTGCAAGGTAGCAGTTCCACAACACCAATGACAGAAAACCAGTATTCTGTTATGTCACCCCATCAACAAGACCTTCTTGCACCACCTGCTGGACAAAGATTACAAGGGTGAACTTACACTCCATCTCCTAATGATCCTACTTGCTATCCTGCATCAACTTGATTCCTTGGAAAATTTTGGGTTCTTTATTCTCCCACCATGGTTTGGTTCCAGTCAGTGCCATTGTTTTGCTTTTAAAATATCTGATTACTATTCCTATCTACCCAAATAGAAGCTCTGGAATAACTAAACAGGACCAGCTGTTGGAGTGCTTCAGCTGTTTGCTTAGGACCAGAGATGGGAAAGATTGCACTAACTGCAGTTCAAGATGGCAACATTAATAAGAGCCAGAAAAAAATGAGTTCCATGATTCAGACTGAGCACTTGCTTGGAGGATGCACTTAAGGTTATTATCCAGAGCAGACCGTAAGAGCAGCTCTGCTGGATCATGCCAAAGGTCCATCAAGTCCAATCTCCTGCTTCCTACAGTGGCCAAGTCAATGCCTCCTCTGGGAAGCCCACGGGCAGGGCTTGAAGGGCAAGAACTTTCCCAGCAGCTCCTATCTGGTGGCCTAGGCTGCCTCTGAATATGGAGATTGCACTTACGGCCATCACAGCTGAGAGACCCAACTAGCCTCCATGAATGTACCTGATTCTGATTTATAGGCTTGGGAGGCCTGCTGTCATCACTACATCTTTGAGAACTTAATTCCATGACTAAATGTATTTGGTGAAATGGCTCAGCCCTTTGTCCTGACTGCTTTGCCCATCTGTTTCTTTGTGTGATCCTAGTAAAGCCTTCCCCAGCCTGGTGTCCCCCAGATGTTTTGGACAGCTGCCAGCACTCCTGCTCACTGGCCAAACAGCTGGAGGATGCCAGGTTGGAGCAGATCAGAGCTGCACAGGAGCTGCCCTGTCTCCACTCCCGCCCCCATCTCATAACTATAATCTCATCCTGAGACAGTGAATTCCAGAAATTAGTCACATGTTGTGTGGAAAGCCTTTCTTGCTCAAATCTACTGAGGAACCTTTGGCTTTCCAGGTGTAGCTGGTCTCCAGTTCCCATCAGCCCCAGCTAGCTTCGCCAAAGTTGAGGGAAAAGGGGAATAATTCATCAACAGCTGAAGAGACACAGGTGACTCTTCATTCTAATAATTACAAGAGAAGAAAACTCTCTACTCACCTCCTCCACGCTTAGCCTTAATTTTTAAACTAAGAAGGCCCCCAAACGGTTCATCCTTTCCTTGACAGAAAAGTGCTCCACACCACTGATGGTTTTGGCTCTCTCTTGAGAATCTTTTCCAGCTCTATCACACACTTTTGAAGAACTGCACAAGCTACACCAAGTGTATTGCAGGGAAGGGTAGAGGACAGATCTCCTGATGTTTTGACTTCAGCTCCCAGAAGCCCAGACTAGCATAGCCAAAGGTCCGGAATGTTGGGAGATGAAGTCCAAGACAGTTAGAGGGCTAAATTGTCCAAGCCCTCCAACAGATATTTGTCGCTTTAACCTGTTCCTAAAGACCGCTTGCATGGAGTCTGCCTTTTTTCACAACTACCATACACCAAGAACAAGGACACTGTACTTTCCACCAGCTAATGAAAGGAACATTTATAGAAGTATTCATACCACAGATACGTTTTTTTAAAAAACCATCTTGACCCCAAAAGGCTTATATTCTTGACTCAGAGGTCACTACTGCAATTTTTATTATTGCATCCTTTCTAAAAATGAGGAGGAAGAGAAGGTGGAGCGGCCATTACAGAGAACACGACAGTGTTGAGTATTATACAGGGACAAGGAAAAGATATGGAATACTCCACCCATTCGGGTGCCTCTGAAAGTCAGCCCACTCTGTCAAGTGACATTCCCAGCCACCCACTCCAACAGGGCATGAGGAGGAAGAGACTAGAAAGGGACTTAGGAGGGTGGCAAAGTCATTTTTAGAGTCCTCAGGTATCTAACACATCAATAGCTGCAAGAAATACTTTTAAAAATTCAGACAGCACCCAACGTAAAACAAAATGAAAAGGTACAAAGGAGGAGCCAGAAGACACGATCTCTGTGTGTTGCACAGTTCTCAGAATGTTCCCCAGGGACGGTTTGTTCCTACGCAAGCTATGTCCGGCTGAAATTCCAACCCCTTACAAATCCAATTCCAGGTCCTCGAGTTCCTCTTCCAAAGCTTTCCTTCGAGCCAGCTTATCCAACTGCTCTTTGGTCGGTTGCTTGATCTCCCCAGAGTCAATCCGTGCCTGCAACTCCTCCACTTGCCGCAGTTTCTTTTTCAGGTTTTTGATTTTCTTGTTCTTCTCCAAAGTGGCTGTAGCAGATGTGGCATCGCTGCTGCCTGCAGGGGGCCCTGAGCTGCCATCGGGCACAGCTAGCTTTCCATCCCCGTTGCCACCTGGTATCGCTGACAAACTTGTTTTCTCTAGTGACTGGATCAGGTCATCTGTGTCACGCTCCCCTTTCTCCTGCTGCTGCTTTCTCTTCTCTTTGCGCTTCAGGTTCCTCTTGGCTGTCTTGGAGAGTCCTATTTCACTGCTCTCTGGTCCCTTTGAAGCTTGCTTAGCCTCTGGATTTAGACCTGGAGGGAGCTCTGGTTTGCTTTTGAAGAATTTCACATATTTATTCTCATACCTGCATGGAACAAAAGAGATCAGAACTCTCTTCTCTCAATACCTGAAGCTGGGCAGGGGTAAGGGGAGTGGGGAGAAACAAAGAGAAAGGTGGAGCAATCTTTTCTTCAGCATATCTAAATGAGAATAACAATGGGAAAGCTAACAGTGATTAGAACTGCTCTTTTGGAATTCCACCCGCAGCTCCCTCTCTTCACAAGTAAGGAGCAATAGGGACATAAGCATGGAGCCGTTTGCACTGGCAAATGACTACATATTCAACTACTTAACAATATACTGCTTAGGGTTCAGACCAACCCCAGCAGACTCTATCCCTTTACTACCGATAAACTTCTGCTAGTGCTTGGCCCAGTCTTGCAAAGTAAGGCGAGCCAAGCCAAGAGGGAGTCCATGAATGCTTGCAGAATCCTTCTGTATTTGGAGCAGCAGCACAAAGGCACATGGTGCAGGACGAAGAGGCTGCTAGTGGTCGTTGGGGCTCCATTCTAGGCAATCCTCATGTGAGCGCCGGCAGCATTCCTCTTTCACACCACATGTAGCAGCAGTCTGGGCTGCTGCACCCGACAGGGAAGGACAATGTTTGTGCAGTGTGTGGTGCTTGATTCCTGGAAAGCACCCTGATGAACACTGGACACACTCAGCAGGAACTCCGATTCAGGGCTGCCGCAAAGCAGACAGGAGTCCAGGAAGCTGAACCCAGGGAGTTCAATGGATTCCCACCTTCCAGTAGACTCCTCATACTTCCCTAGTTCAGCTCATCTAAAAGCGACACCCATCATCAATGCAGTAACCTGCTACCTTCTGCCATACTGAGCATGGGGCTAGCAAAGGAGATGCGGCCCATGAGTACTGCCACAAACTACTGGTAGCAAACCTGTGCATGTCTAGCTGCTTTTCCCAGGGTGGAGAGTCATTTTTCCACCCATGTGCAAGTGTCCAGAACCACACAGGCCAATTTGTGGTTCTCAGGTGGATGATGTTCACTGCAATTTGGGGTTATTCCCTTCAGTAATGGCCTTCCCCAGGGACGTTCTGGAGAAGAGAGCATTCCACATCAAAGAAACTCATGTTCTGTGTGATGGCTGGGGAAGTGCAGCACAGGTCAAGGAAGGCAGGAGTGGGTTTGAAATCATGTCTAGATAGGCTTCCTTCAGAGTACTTTTTGTTCCAACATCAAACGTGTCTCTACAGTCAGAGAGATGCAAGCGCTAAAATTGTATCCACATTACCTATGGAACTGAACTTTTATATTTAGTAACCTTAACTTAAAACACATTCCAGCTATTTTAAGAAGAAAAATAAATGAGCTGAATTACCAAGGTAGCATTTGTGGTCATGTGTTTGTTTTAACAGTACTAGAGAAAGCAAAGTATATGTCTAAAACAGAAGACATAACCTACAAGCTGTTTTCAGAGAGATTTACTGGACAAGAACACCTGGACAAGTTCCATTTTAACTATCAAGGCTAATTGCTTGAAAAAGAGCGTTTAAGGAGACTGTAAGAACTGCCAGCACCATTTGATTAAAGAAGACTTTCCCAGACTGGAACATCCAGGTGTGACAGGCTACAACTCCCAGTAAGCGTGGCTGGGGCCTCTGTGACGGGAAGCCAAAAGACCTACTCTATAAACAAGCCCTACAGCAAACCCCCATTCCCCAATGTTTCTGCCTACAACTCCCATGATCCTTTCCTGTTGGGAATGCTTGCTACCCCGATTGGAGCCGAAGGTCAAAATAACTGGAGGGCCAGAAACTGGCCACCCTGCCTAAGGATTTCAGAACACCTAGTAAGAATTTTTACCTTTCCTTATAAGGAACAGACATACAGCCCCAGTCCATGCCAAATCACACCCTGCTTTTGAAAATCTTCACTTCAAATTGGAGAGCTGCTTGAGAAACACAATCCCTTTTGCAGGTGTAGAACTAGCCATGTTGTTTGCTTATTCATTTGTTTATCAAATTATAATTCAAAACAGTGAAAGCACTCTGGATCTGAATCACTTATTTTATTTTTTTATGGAAGTGGGACAAGTGAGTACAAGTCAAGATTGAGTACCATTTCTGCTAAGACCCTTGGCAGATAATCTACAGAAACTCTCTTCAGCTGAGGACTACCAAATTATGAGTTCACACGCTTTATTTATAATACTAGCAGGTATCATTTGATCGATTGAACTGTCTAAGCACAACTGCAATTGGGTTTATCATGAAGTGTTCACATTTTCCATAACAGAGAACTTCCAGTCAACTGCAGGGAGAGAATATTCCTCAAGAACTAATTCTGACAGAATTGGCTTGCCATACCCTCTCTCTCATGTGGATAATTCAGAGCAGCTTTCTGGATCAACATAATGCAAAGCTGAGATTAGCAGGAAAGACTCAAATGGGAAGGCAATTTTATTGCAACTGGGAGCCATAAAAATGGTGGGCTAACAATTCGACAGATCAGACATGATATGGAACTGTTGGGCACCACCCACACTTCCAGGAAGGTGACTGATCTTGTACTTTCTGCTTGCACCAAAGGCAGGCAACATATGGCTCAGCCAGGGTCTCTTCTGCCAAAAAGCCGGATGAGAGTTTGACTTACACAGGCACCTCTTCTTGGGGAACATAGCCTTCTTTCACTCTCCTTTGCTTCCTCCAGGTGCCATCTGGGCGCTGTGTGGAAGCGATGTATTTTCCTGAAACATTTATGAGCAGGTTAGCTGGCAAAATAATATTGCACTCCCCTCTCTGTATGACATGCCTATGTGACCATAATGTTAAGGGCACCTTCCTATGCAGATTTAGACAAAAGCAAAATGAAAAAAAGAAGAGCTATAAATATAACAAAGAAATAATAATAAGTAAAATAATATCCTGCAAAGTTTTGGCCCATACAACTAGAAACAATCAAAATTAAACAAACAAAATTTAATCTTGTTTTATTAGCTGCTTCATATCTTCCCAAATTCCTACCATTTACATGTGGAAGCTAATGTGAAATTATTCATCATTACCCTTGATAACTATAAAAGTGGATTCCTTGTAGGACAACTCCCAGCACAGCTAAAATCTTTCACTTAGGCTGCAATCTTATATATACTTAACTGACTGGGATCTGCAATGAAAATGATGGGGTTATTTCTAGGTAGACATGCCTAGTATTGGCATTTTACTTTCAGTGATCCTTAAGACAACCCTGTAAGATAGTGCAATACTTTTATCCCCGTAATGAATACAAAATACCTAAGCACAAAATAACACACAAGAAATTAATTAACAAGTGTGGCAAAATTCATTAAAACATCATAGTGTAGTGTACACAAGCACCCCCTACACCAAAATTATGCCTCAGAATGTGCAGACTGCACCCATCATTCAGGCTAGTGTGATGCTGCCATTAGTGGTGTTTTAGGACTAGGAAGACCTGGGTTCCAACCTCAAACATGAAGCTCAGTAGGTGACCTTTGGACCAGTTAACAGCCTAACTTCAGATAAATGGAAGAAGCAACCATCATGCATGCTGCCTTGAGCTTTTTAGGGAAAGGTGAGATATAAGTGTATTAAATAAACAAATATAACTGAGCCCATTCATTCATTATACATGCACTAATCAAAATGTCAGAGAAAAAAGCCTAATCTGAACCCTGATTAGTCAAAAGGAAGAAACATCAACAGATCCAGCTATTCTCATTCCTGCAAAAATTCCCATTTTTTCTATAACTACTAAACTTCTTCCTCTGCCTCTAGCCATTTTGGTGTTGGGTGTGGAAGAGGGTAACAGTGTGGTGCAAAGAAAAGAAACCAGCAAGTATCTTCAGCCAAAATCCAGTGCCATGTGGCTTCAAAATGAGCCATGTGCTGGAAAACTGCATTCATTCCCTGAAAACGCACACATGTAGTTCAAATCAGCCAAAGGACCAGACCAGGGAGGGCTGTTACCAACTGACGTATCAGTACATGTATACATTCAGTGCTTTTGTTTTTTACCTTCTATAAAGTGCTTCAGGATTTATCTCAAATGAGAAGCAGATTCTATGCAGGGCTATTAGTGACTGCAATAGGTCAAGATCAAGGCTGCCACCAGAAGCCAGTGCAGAGGAAAGAGAATATATACCGGGATGCACAGCTGCCGATCCCACCTTCTGTCCCAGCACTGGGCTCAATTATGATGACCCGAAGCACCGCACACACGGCCCGGGGGTTCGTCTACCTTCTGCCCGGGCGCGGGGGCGGGTCTCCCGCTGCAAGGGGAGGGGCCACAACGGAAAGTGGAGCCCAGAATAAGCAGCGGGGGGGCATGCTCTAAAGGAGGGGGCGTGGCACAAAATGGGATGGAAGCGAAAGGTGGAGCCTGGCAGGCATAAGGATGGAGGGGGGAGGAGCGCCACCGCGGGAAGACTCGGAGGATGCAGCGGTCGGACACGAGAGTTGGGCGCTTGGCAGAGTTAGAGCGAGCCAGAGTGAGGGGAGGAAAGGAAGCCAAACCCGCGATTCCCTCGCTCCCAGCCCAGCCGCGGCTCCCCCACTCACCGGTTTCATCAGTCACATAGGGAGTCGCCATCTTGGAAACGCGACCTACTTCCGGCTGTATTGCCTCCACCTCCGGATATGGCGCAGAGGGGAGGAGGAGAGAGCGGGCGGCGCGGCCATTTTGTCTCTGAGCTGGGACCTCGCCGCCCCCTGTGGTTCTGGCTGCGTGGGCGGGCGGCTCTCCCGGCATCCTGCGGGCCGTTTCTGGGGTTCCCCGGTGCTGGGGCGTTGCTTGGCGCCACCCGCTGCTGTGTGAGCGTGTTGGAGCTCCAGACGAAGGCCCGTTCTCATTTCTTTCACCCTCGTTATTTGCACATGGTGGTCGTAGTCAGTTTCCGTTCCTCTTGCCAAGCAGAAATGCCCAAAGAATCGAGGTGTTCTCCTTTTTGTCCCGCTCGCTCTATGAATCCTTGCGTGGAGACATTTTAAGTACATAGAGTGTGGGGGCACTGCCAAGTGGAGAAGACCTTTTGCAATGTTATGCAGCGAAATGTAGAGAAAACAAAAATGTAAATAAGGTGCTGTGTACGGGGGAATAAAGTTGAAATCCTAACACATTTGCTGTAAATTTTACAATAAATTTAACATAAAAGTTAAAGTGCAGTCCTATGCAAATTCTGCCTAAACATGGGTAGGTTTGGGCCAGTAAAATGCCAGACTTGTTAAAGACAGCTAATGAAAGTGCTGTCTCAGATGCAATAAAGTTTAGGAGTAGGAGGCCTTGGTGCTGAAAAGATGAATGTTGGTGCTGGATTGGCCATCGTGTGGAGATCATTCCCTAATTGGGGCCACCATTAAGAAATTCCTCTTCCTTGTTAACACTTCTAAGGCATTGTAGGAGGTGGTACTCAGTGGAAGGTCCTCAGATGTTGCCTCTAGTGCCCTTACAAATTTTGTTGGGAGAGGCAGTTGGCCAGGTATTGTGATTCAGAGCCATTTAAGGCTTTTAGGATAAAACCACCTGTGGAAGTTTATCCCACTGACCAGTAGAACTTGCTTCCAGGGAAAGATCAGCAGGACTGAGCAGCAAGTGATTTAGTTTTCAATTCTCTATGTTCTCACGACCCTGGGAGTAAATTCCACTGCACTCAATATTGCTTACTATTTGACATGCACAGGATTATACTGTTTGGCTGCAATCTTGCACCTGCTTACTTTGGAATGATTTCAGTTGAACTGGGTGAGACTTACTTCTGCATAGACATTGGGTAAAATTGTGTTATTAGCCATATGAGTAACCTGGAAGTGATGCCTGCTTTATGCTTAACTGCACTAAATTCTAACCTGTTGAGCCTATGGTGGTCTGCTGTCACTCTCTGCTCATTTCTTTCTGGTCCTCATTGATGTTAAAAGGCTAGCAGCAACAACACAATATGTAGAAAGGCAATTTGAGAACTTTTAAAGAGACTGGCTTTCAAGTTTCTTTAAAAAATGTGTATTTCTAGACTCAAGACACAAGAGAAGTCCAGAAAGCTTTCAGTGTACAGGAAAAAAGGCTCTTAAATGGATTACAATCTCATTATTGTTAGATAATTATCTCTGTGTGGACCATGATGCTTTAAGAGGAACTCATTCATTTACAGATCAAATTAAGTCAAATATGGTGTAGTTAAGCTATTCAGATTTGTTCTTCATAGTGAGAGCTCTACATAGGCTAATTGTGGAAAATCATATGGCATATACTTAAGTCCTGAGTTATTCTTGAAACACGAATACTTGGAGATAAACTGCTGACAACAGCATGATTAAAGAGTTAGGTTTAAAGGAGAGGAGTGGTGCTATTTTTGTGCAGGGAGCTGAAAAGAACTGTGGGATAGAAAGTAGGGACTGGGTGAAAATGTAGTTTCAGTTGGATTTGATAAGAATTTACCAATGTTCACTAAGTTTATCATATTCAGAACAAACAAAAAAGAATGTGGGGAAAATTGAAACTGCCAAATCAGTCTATGGAGGCCCAAGGCTTTGAGTACTTAGCTCTTAGAAGTCCAGCTTTTGGTGTTGAATTAGGAAAATATTTATTTTATATTTTTTCTATTGAAATTTTGCAATGTATGTGAAGACAAAGTTTTACAGCCTATATTACATACTGTTAGAATTTACGAAACAAGACATGAACTGAGAAATTTCTTCTTATCATTTGTATTTAATGAGTCTTAAGTGAGCCACAGCTAATTGAAGTTCCATTCCTTTCAATGGGTCTGCTCTAGCTAGGACTAACATTGGATGCTACCTTTAGAGCTGCCACAATTTTTTCTGCCAGGCTCCTCAGCTTTATTAGCTGTACAGCTTGCAAGTACATAATGGTCCACACCATGCTGGGAATAGCTGTACCTATTTGGCCATTGTAAACGGATGAGAATTTAATTTCAGTTTACTTGTTAAAGAAATTGACCAAAATATGCTGTTTTCATAGTGAGAAAGAATAAAGTTTACATTTAAAAAATACAAATCTGGGAGAAGGTGAGTGAGAGGCCCTATAATACATGGAGTCTAGTGTTCTGTTCTAAGGATTTAAAAATACCTGCAAGCAAAAAAGAGAATTAATGGAGATTCTTTCCTTGTGCAACATTTCAAGTAAGAACTGATAAGTAGTCCTAGTTTGGGCAGCCATCTTCAAAACAGGAATTTGAAAAAGCATTATTTCAGATAATTCCAGCTCAGTCACAGATTGATATATACCCAGTAAGAAAATGTCTGCATGTAAAGTTCTCTGTGGGTTGCAAATAAGAATAGTGCCGATTTTGATCAGGATCAGAAACTGGTAACAGTGGGAAAAGGTTACACAATCCTGAACTCTGAATGCACAGATTCATAGAAGGTAAGGACTTTTTGCAGAATTTCTAAGTACCTATCCAGAGGGCATAATGGTGGTGTTAGAATGACAATGGTAATTCTATCAGTTAATCTATCCCTTGATTCTATCTTCCTTGGAAAGGAGTGAAACACAACAATAAAATAGCTTCTAATCATGTTCCTAAATCTACAAAGGCTCTTTCTGTTACCCACTTAACAATTTTCAAAATTGACCTCCTCCCCACTGCCTTCAGTAGAGTTATGTGGCTTATCAATAGAAAGTGATTAAATAACAATTTATGTCACTTCCTTTAGCAAAGGTCATATTGCTGGGAATGGAAAACCATCTTGTTTTTAAAATATCTTGTTTGTGTGATTCTTAGGCTGTTACATCTGGGGACAAAGGCATTCATTTACCTCAATAATTAGAAAATGTGCAACCTGATTCAAGTCATGTTTTTCCTGAAAATACCATTTTGTTCAATAGAGTTTCTACCAAGCCAGAGCCAAACTTGATGGATACAGATCATAGTCAAGTGTTTGCCTGGTAGAGTTGAGTGTCTGCTTCTGACACAAAAAAAAAAGCATTGTAGTGGAGGGAAATAAAGTACCCTGCTCTATCTTACCTTATTGCTTTAGGATTCTCTTTACTGCCTGAGTCACTTGCAGAATTGGAGCTAGGCTGGGAGAGAGCTGTTTAAAGCACTAGAGTGCAATGAAGATGGCTGGGGAGATGGATGGCATTTACTTCCCCTTTATCTGTACATTTCTCTTTGTGTGAGAAGTACACTTCCCTTACCTTAGATACAAATGGGGTAATTACCTGCTTAGTTATTTCAGGGTTCCATCTTAAAGGCAGCCTAAAAAGAAACACAAGTAAAAGAAGTAAAATATGAACAGAACAATGGCCAGAGGTGAAACGGTTAAGAACACACACATTCAACTGCTCAAGCTCAGAGTTTCCTGAGTGTGGTTTCACTTAGACAAGACAGGGAAAGAAACATGTGACTACATGTCAAGTCTAATTTGAACCTCGGGGATCCTACTGTTACAGTATGCACTAAATACTGTGTGAGGGCTTTCCAACAAGAATTCTATCAAAGAATGTAAAATCCTGGAGCTACAGCACACTCTAACCAGTTTACAAACTAGATATGCAGGGCAACTGCATATTCTCTCTGTAAGTGCTTTTCTATTTGGAAAAATATATAACTCCATATTTTTTCCTCTGCAAAGAGAAAAAGAGCTGGAATAACAGTAAAAAAAAGAGGAAGGATTACTGCTAGTGCTATCTTTCTGCTTTAACTTTCACCCTTTGAGGCTGCTTTTAATTGGGAAATATATCAGGGTGGGGTAGGAATGCACAACTGTGAATCAGATTTAATTTGGGTTCGGGGGATTCTGAAGCAGAGGACTAGACTTTAAGGACATGATGATATTTTCCAATGATAATCCCTGTAGCAGTCACATAATCACAACTGATGTGCCACTGGTGGAATAAAATAGCATTATTTCAAGCAGCAAAGCATTAAAGTTTGAGTTCTGGGATAATTTATATCCCCACCACAAAATGCTTATATCTGAAGAAGGAGCACTTGGATCCAATGTGTCAAGGGAATATTGACTGTGTTCATTGCACCATAAACTAACGGCTGTGACAGGGAAGTGTGCTGAGGTCCCAGAGTGGCGCAGAGATATGTTTATTCTGGGGCTATCTTTTAAATTGCCAGATGGAGTTCAGGTGTTAGGAGTGGAGGGGTCATGTGGTAGACTTTTTTTTTTTTTGGTTTTATTTATTATATTTTTTAGTTTGGCCAATAACCAGAGTTCTCTGAGTAGATTACAAGAAGTTAAAAAGCTAGAATACTATACAACTAACATTCTAAAATAAATAATTGTAAAAAACATATGGGTTATACATGCTTATAATCTATACAATTATAAAAAAATATTACAAATTCTAAAAGAACGAAATGGCATATTGTACAAAACAACAAACAGCACAAGAAACAAAATTGCCATAAAGAAACAGTACTGCAGCTTTGTGTCATCCCTGCACAGCAGCGCTTGTGAACATCCCTTCCTGTCTTGATCCTCTGGTTTGGGAGAACAGCATAAGCAGGCCTGAGAGTGCTATGATGTTCTTTCTGGCTTGACCCTTCCAACCCCTTACTGCTTAACTAAGAGCAACTGTTCCTAGATTAGCCTGAGCAATAGAAAGTTTGGCTTGGCCTGGTTGGTTTGAAGAGGCTAAACAT